GCCTCTTAATGGCATTGTCCAAAGGTCATTTCAGGGGGGATCGCGGGGGATCGCAGTTCCCCCGGGTGGAGTACGGGGGGCGGGGCACACGACGAAGCCCTGCCCCCTGCTTCCGGCTGCCCCGCTTCCGGCCCTCATTCAGCCAGGAGGAGGCAGGAGAAGAGGGAGGGTAAGTTGCTTCCTCCCTGCCTCTCCCCACCCCTGCCTGCCTGGGGCCAGGGAGGGCCTTCGCGGGGCTTGGAGCTGCAAGGCCGGTGGTGGCGGCTGGGACCGTTGGGGGCGGGGGGTGTGGCCTTATGACACACTTCCGGTGATGTCAGGGGGTGTGGCCTTATGACACACTCCCGGTGATGTCAGGGGGTGTGGCATATGCTAATGAGTTATGCTAATGAGTTCCCTTAGCTCTTTTTCTACGAAATGACCCCTGGCGTTGTCACTCAAACAACAGACTGAGACGAACCAATCCCTGTCTCTACTGGTATTCCACTGGGGAAGTAGAGATGTTATAACTTCCAAAAACATCATCTGGCAGATTTCTGTGTTTCATTGCAACAGAATATATCGTTTCACAGACTGAGGCGTGATTTCTAGATTTGACATTGGCACCTATGTTTATATTTTCATTCCCTCTTTATTTTTGCCTCTGATGTTGCCTTTACGCTTTATCTGCTTCATGCTTCTTTTCGAATATTTTTAAAAGTGAAAACACAACTGATAAGGAAAGCTAGATTCGAGTTCAGCAGCACCTTAAAGACCAACACGATTTCCAGGGTATAACGCTTTCTAGAGTCAACGCTTCCTTCACGGGGACATGGCGGCTCACAAAGGGAGCGTTGACACTCGAAAGCTTCTACCCTGAAAACCTTGCTGGACTCAAATCTGGCTCCTCTACGGCAGACCAACGCAGCTACCTGCCTGAAACTGATAAGAAAGGCACTTTGAACAGCTGCAAGAACAGTATCTGACTTCTGTCTGTCCACTTCATGGCTGAAGAGCAATAACAATTTCCCTCAAATAAAACAAAGTGAACTTAAAGATGGCCTTCAACATTCAGCTCATCCATAATAAGATCAGCTAATGGCATTCTGAACACACACAGTGCTTATCTGCTGTGGCCGCAGCCATCCCCGGCTCTGAAATGCTGATCAGAACATCATTTTCTCTGTGCTTTTCAGATTTCTACAGAGAAACGTTTCTTCAGATGCAATCACATGAAGACATGGGGAGATGGAAGGATTCTATTAGGCTGCTGATTTTGAAACAATGTTTCTAATGAAAACTACACGATGGGAACTTTAAAAGACATATTAAAAATGGACACAGAAATAATTTTTAAAAATCCCAAATTTGCGAAGTATTACATACTTAGTGACTAAAAAATACCATATCTGGCACACACATCACAAAATACCATATCACGCACAGAAAATCACAAAATTTATAATAATAATAATAATATCCATTTATTAATCGCTTTCCCCAGTGGGCTCAAAGCGATGTACAGTTACTCAATATAGACAAGGGACTAATAATGTTCGTAGGGGATAGGGAAGACAACAAATATTCATTTTAATTGCACACGCCATTACTGCCCGGTGTAGACGTCTTCTGGCTGGCTCCGTCATTTTCCCGCACGGCTGCTTGCTGGCCAGGCTTCAGGGCCCGTATGTCAATCGCCACACTGCCACCGCCTGGCCGGAACATCCATTGCAGGAGTTCTTTTCGTAGCCGAGAAGCTGTTTCGCCTTACAGGCCTTGACCAGGACGTCCGACCGTCAGCTAACACCCTCCCACAAGGGAGATT